CCCAGAGGGGCCTGTCAGGCCGGGAGAAAACCCGGCAGTTGTGGTCCAAGATCTATTTGGTCTGCCGTGACCACTCTGGCACTCTCTACAACCCTGTCAAGGTCCTTACTTCCTATACGGCCACTAAGGACTTGTGTGCTCGCGCCGGTGAGGAGTTTGGCGATTCAGTGTTCGTTGGGCTGCCCTCCATTCGCGAGGTCTTGATTGGCCCGCGTCGGAAGCCTGATGCCTTCAGAGCTGGACGCCCTGGAGGAGGTGCGCTCTGAACCTCCTCTAGAAGAAGGGCTACCATTTGCAGAGAGTTTTGGCACTTTGAGAGATCATTTCATTTTGGATTTAGCTGGAAATTCTCGTACTGAAGAGTGCAACAGATGACTCTCCTTCAGCTCAGGTGAAGCATGGTGCCTCGGCTCATGAAGCGCAGACGGAGGTATCGGTATCTGTGTTAAATGGCGTCCCTGCCTCTGCAAAGGCTGCACAAACAGGCTCAGCCGCAACCCACTTCCCACAGATGCTTCGCACACTCTTCATAAAGTGTTCAGGCTTAAGGAATCTACTATGGGCTAACCTGCCAAAAACGGTGTTTCCAACCCAACCAATCTTCCATGCCACAAGATCTTGCAGACTCAATCAACAAGACCATGCGCGGCAGCGCCCACAAGCAGCATCCACGAGGTGACGAGGGCGCACTCCAAGCGACAAACCTCAGATAGAAAGGCTGTCAAGGGCAACTCACCAACCAACATGCCGAACCAAGCTTGCCAATCCACCCGCAAAGGCTCAGTACACTCTTCATAAAGTGTTCGGGTTTAAGGAATCTAGTATGGGCCAATCTGCACAAAACGGTGTTTCCAAGCCAGCCAACCTTCCATGCCACAAAGAAGCTGTTGACTCCTTTTGCCAAGACAACGCGTGTGTTGAGACGAACAGTTCGAGTTCAGTGCCCGCCTCTGCAAAGGCTGCTGCACCGATGCGACAATATGACGGAACGAGGATGACCGGGGACCGGACGTTCACCGCCGACCCGGAGCTGCTCACATTGTTGAAAAGTTTCCCCGCCGATCAGTTTCTCTTTCCAAAGAACTGGGACGGAGTTTTTGCCGACCCTGGTTATCTTGATTTGTTTTCTGGAGAACGAGGAGTTGCCAAATCCTGGGTTCACCACACCGGGAGATGGGCCTTATGTTTTGGCATTGCGCATAGCCCTTCTGAAGATCTTGGCGACCAGAAAGTGCAAAGAAAGATTTTGATGTTGGTCGAGGGAGGATGCTTTTGCGCATCCGGCATGGCCCCCGTGTGCGCCAGTTTCTCCATGGCCATCGCGCCGGCCATTCGTACCAGAGAACACCCGATGGGTATTCCCAACCTGTCGGAGAAAATGCAAGCTAAGGTCGAACTTGGAAATAGTTTTGGCGCCTTTTGTTTTGCACTGCTTCGAAGAGCTTGTGCCCTGAACATGGCGGTGTGGTTAGAAAACCCTCATACTTCGTGGATGTTTAGGATCCCTGACTTCCAACTCCTGCTCGAAGCGTGTCCTCAGCTTAAATGGTTGGTTGTAGACTATTGCAGGTATGGAATGCCTTGGAGGAAGAGAACCCGTTTTGTAACTAACACAGTGATTGGAGGTGTCAAGACCCTCTGCGCAGGCTGCCTAAAGCATGTATTGTTACGGGGCCGATGTCCGCACCGACGTATGAGCTGGACTCTAATAGCTCAGCCATACCCAGCCGGTGTCGCGTTTGCCGTGGCAGCATCTCTTGCTTTGAGCCTCAGACTAAGGAAATGGGAAGGTGCCTGTGATCCGGCCGATTGTGCAAAGATCACCAACCGGAATATCGGCGAAGCTGCTCATCCTGGGCCAGTCCGGCCCAACAGAGCTTGTAACCTAGAGGACGTGCTTCTAGTGACTCCTAAAACCGCTGCCATTCAGCAAGAAGTGTGGTCAAGATTTGTTACATGGCTTCGTGGAGCACTAGCGCCTGAGGTTAGTAGGAGTGTTTTTCTGCACCCCGCTTTGCTGGTTCAGATGGTAAGAGTTTTTGCTTCGGTCTTGTATTCAACCGGCATGCTTCGGTCTTGTATTCAACCGGCAAGTCCTTGTATATGCTAAGGCACCTGATCCTCTATTTGCAGAGGAACTTCGTTGAAACTAAGTTGTACACCTCAATCCTGTGGGATACGGTTTCCAAGTGGGAGATCCTTGAACCGACGGAGCATAGAACACCCGTCCCACGAATGATTTTCAGAGCTTTAGTTGCGACCGCAATACTTTGGAAGTGGGAGCGCGCAGCTGCTATGATTGCAATTTCTTTCCTAGGGATCACCCGACCAGGTGAGCCCTTGTGAGCCGTCCGAGAAAATTTGGTCTTTCCGAGTGATGCCCTTGAGTTGGACCGCGAAACGATTTTCCTGATCATCCCAGAGCCCAAAGGAAGGCGGAAGAGCCGAGGGCGACTCCAACACAGCGCCATCCGTGAGTTGAGCTTTTTCGACTTCCTGTTTGCTGTGTTAGGCCCACTAGGACCTATGGAGCCACTTTATAATGGATCTCCAGCCTCCTTTCGAAGAAGATGGGACGCTAGGGCAGGCGGGTGTGTTTCCGCCTTCCAGGACTCCATGGACATCCCACTGCTCATGTGGAGAATGAGAATCAAGCACCAAGCTACGCTCGAAAGTTACTTGCAAGAAGTGGCAGCTCGTACTGTGATTCCCAAACTGAGCGCTGCAGCTGAGATGTTGCCTTTTCTTTTACAGCGATACTCCCCGCTCTTGCGCTGCCAAAGGCCCAGCGCGGGCCATCGTTGAGATTTGTTGCTCACGGAATTCCTTTGTGTCAAACCAAGGATGGAGGAAGCTTTCGTTGTGTGCTACCTTTTTGTTGAACATGCAGCCCTCAAAAGCTTTTCGACATGTCTTC